TAGTGAGCCGATTTGTCGTAATTATGGGGGAGACTGACAAACCACTTTATCGACCTGGAGACAAAGTGAAATTCCGTTTTCTTGCACTTACCAGTCGCAATATCTTGCCACAACCTGAAACACTTACATGGCCGAAATATCGGGCCGTTGGTGAATACTGGGAGAAAAAGCGGCTAGAAATTATAGACCCACATGAACGTCAGAGGCGAATGAAAGCACCGTTCTTTGATTTAATTGAAATAAAGGACCCACTCGACAATATTTTACAACAATGGAAAGAAATCAAACCACTAGAAGCTCTTAATCTGACCTACATCCTCATTAGTGACGCCATGGAAGGTGAATGGAAGATAGAGGCTCGTGTAAGAGACGAGAGTGAAGAAATAAAGTTTCAAGTGAGGCACTATGTCCAACCACGATTCCAGGCGCACATAAAGATGCCAAAGGTCATTCACCCTTCAGATACGGACGTGATATTTGGCGTCTGTGCTACCTACACTGATGGTCATACCATGCTCGGCACGTATGATGCGCAAATCTGCGTCTGCAATCAGAATATACTAGAACGTCACCAAACGGCAAAGGAGCTGTTACCGAAGAACCAATGTAGTGGTTACTACGATTCAGTCATGCGTACCTGCATGCGATTCAACGGCATTCTAGACGGTTTTGCTTGCAGTAACATTACTGCCAACGTCTCAGAATTGGTTCAGGGTAAACCACCAACCTGGATGGACAGACTTGGAGTGTTTGTAGAGGTTGTGGAAGAAGCTACAGGTTCCTCTATTGTTGTTTCTGACATCACTAACTTCCAAATGTGGCCCGAACCTAAACTAGAGTTGAAAATTCCTAGCTCGTTTAGGCATGGAATTCCCATTGCTGGTCAAATACTATACAGAAATGTTGCAAACGTAACTGAAGAGCTGGAACTCATCGTAAGAGAGGTTAATGATCCTTGTGGTGGATGGGTTGTACGAATTGATGACAATCCGACTCGACTCAAGAGAATCATCTCTGTCAAAGCAGGTGAGGAAGTGCACAATTTTGTGCTGCCACCGCTATATTTCAAAAACGGCGCTTCGGTGATGGTCAGAGAGATCCGCAAAAGCAACAGTACTGTTACTGATTCGTCTCCAAGAG